GGGCAGTACCGAAAACTTTTGGGAACTTCAGAGACGCATAATTAATTTTAAAGGAGTAACTTCAGAGATATTCAGAAAACTGTAAGGAAATAAAGAGATCTTTAAAGAAGTGACGACTTGAGGAACATTTATGCATATAAATAAATTCTAAGTATCTCATTTCAAGACAATTGCGAGAGCTTTAAAGAAGTTCTAAAATCTCCGAAAGAAAGTATAGAGAATTTCAAAGGAGATCATAGATTTTAAGGAAGTTTCATTATCTTCAAGGAAGTTCCAAGTACTTCAATGAAGATCAGAGAACTTCCGAGTAGTTATGGAAAATTTGTTAAAAACTTTCAATTAGTTCCAAGGAAAGATGAAATATTTTGAGAATTTCCGGAATGTTCCGGAAACTTCAGGAACATTGAGGGATCTTCAGTAAAGTTAAATGAAATTAGGATAATTTCGGGATCATTAGAAAATTAGGGGAATTTCAGGGAAGCACCGAAAATTTCAGGGAAGTCCGTAATAGTTGGAGGAAGATTAGGGGAAAGCTAATCAAGCTTCAACAAAGTATGAAGAGCTATGGAAATCCGTTATAACTGCTTATCTTTTGACAGATACGCGTATTTTGTCTACTACTTGCAGACTTCATCGGTGCCAAGTACTCAACACCACTGATGAATCCATCTTTTATCTACGAATTATATACTTATCAATAGGTACTAAAAATCAGCAGGTATCCACTGCCATGTCACAGAACTTCGAGAACACAGGAATCCAGAGAATTTCTGGAATTTAATAGAAGTTCTCAAAATTTCAGAGGATGTCCGGAACTTCACGGAAACTCCGAGATATTCAAGAAAGATTCATGAATATCGGGTAAATGCGGGACATTTTAAAAGATGATGCGTAAGCTTTCGTGCAGTTTTTAGAGTTGGTGGAACTTCAGGAAAGATGATTGCAGTTTCATTAAATTCAGGAAAGCATCGGGAAATTTCGAGATGCTCAAAAAAAAAAAAAATTTCAAGCAGTCCAACAAATTTAAAAGATATGAAAACTTAATAATTTTTTTGAAAGCGCCTCCAAAGTTCAGGGGTTATCAATTAAGCTTGGCGATTGTTAGGACTGTTCTATTATGTTCAGGCAGTACTAAGAGCTTCAGAATTCTAGGGTAGTTCCGATAACTTAAGGGATGATCAGAGAATCCTAGGACAGTTCCAATAGCTTCAAGGAAAGCACAAAAAAAAATGAAAAGTTTCGAAAACTTCTGGGAAATTGTCAAAACTTCAGGAACTTCTTTAAATGCCAGAAAAATTGTGGAAACTTTTGAGACTGGTTAGTTTAATTATTTTAAGGAAAATTCCGTGAACATATGGGTAGGTTCGATAACTTCAAAGAAGTTCCATTTACTTCAAGGAAATTGTGGAAACTTTTAGATGTTCTGAGGACTTCTGGAAAAAACAGTGAACTTCAGTGAAGTCAAGATAATCTCGAGGATGTCCTGAGAACCTTAAGGAAGTCCAGATAAATTCACGAACCAATTGATAGAACGTCTGTAAAATTTCAGAAAATTCAAAGATTTTCTATGAATATCAGGAAAATGACAGGTTCCTATGGGTTTTACCATACAGCTAATATTTATCTGACTTTAGCTAATAACAATTACAATTATAGGTACGCTGTCTGTTGGAGATTCTTGATGTTGGTTAAATTAGTGGCGTCTATTGCCTGGTATGAAGCGTCGTTATGATCACTTCTCAATACTTATTTGTGAACGATAACAGTGCAAAAAGCATGGTGGGATCAAACAGTGAATAGGGGTTTGGCTTACCAGGGTCTAGGTTTAAATCTCGTTTTAAGTTTTATGACATGCTGAATGCAGAAAAGTTTTACCCATACTCCAGTGTCAATTAGAGGGCGTTGAATTGTGTGTACATGCAGTTATACATTCCTATACAGTAATGATCCAATTTTGTGAACCCCTCCGTCCTTACTTACCTTACCAATCAGGCTAAGGCCTTGTTTTCTACTGCTGTCCGAATAAGTCGTCTCCACTCTACTCGATCCATGGCCACAGTTCGCCAGCCTCGTAGTCTGCGACGGGTCCGCAGGTCACCTTCTACTTGGTTGATCCACCTTGCCCGCTGCGCGCCTCTTCTTCTTGTTCCTGTAGGGTCGATATCTAGAACCATATTCACTGGGTCGTCGTGCGGCATTCTTACGACGTGCCCAGCCCACCGTAGTCACCCAATTTTTGCAATGTGGACGATGGATGGTTCTCCCAGCAGCTGGTGCAATTCGTGGTTCATTCGCCTCCTCCACGTTCCGTCATCCACTCCACCGTAGATGGTACGCAACACCTTCCGTTCGAAAACACCAAGGGCGCGTTGGTCCTCCACGAGCATAGTCCAGGTCTCGTGGCCGTAGAGGACCACCGGTCTAATCAGCGTCTTGTAGACAGTCAACTTCGTGCGGCGGCGAATTTTATTCGACCGGAGCGTCCTCCGGAGTCCAAAGTAGGCATGATTCCCTGCCATAATGCGTCTTTGAATTTCTCTGCTGGTATCATTTTCGGCGGTCACCAGTGAGCCCAAATACACGAACTCATCGACCACCTCGATTTTGTCACCGTCAATCTGAACTCGGGGTGGGAGGCTAACATTGTCTTCCCTAGAACCTCTTCCTTTCATGTATTTTGTCTTTGATGCCTTGATGGCAAGTCCAATCCGTCTAGCTTCAGCCTTCAGTCTGATGTACGTTTCCGCCATCATCTCAAAGTTCCGTGCCATAATGTCAATGTCATCGGCGAAGCCAAGAAGCTGGATGGACTTCCTGAATATCGTGCTACTCGTGTCTATCCCAGCTCTTCTGATCACACCTTCTAACGCGATGTTGAACAGCAGACACGAAAGTCCATCACCTTGCTGTAACCCCCTTCGCGATTCAAAGTGACTGGAGAGTGTCCCCAACACTCGAACAACGCACATCACTCGATCCATCGTCACCTTGACCAATCGCGTCAGTTTGTCCGGAAATCCATACTCGTGCATAATCTGCCATAGCTGATCTCGATCGATTGTGTCGTATGCGGATTTGAAATCGATGAACAAATGATGTGTGGGCACGTTGTATTCGCGGTATTTCTGCAGAACCTGCCGAATCGCGAAAATTTGGTCCGTGGTAGCGCGGGCACCCATGAATCCCGCCTGGTATTGCCCCACGAACTCTCTTGCAAATGGTGGCAGAGGGCGGCATAGAATTTGGGAGAGTACCTTGTAGGTGGCGCTCAGCAGTGTGATCGCGCGGTAGTTGCAGCAATCCAACTTGTCGCCCTTTTTGTAGATTGGGCATACGACACCTTCCATCAACTCCTCCGGTAATATCTCCTCCTCCCAAATCTTGGCAATTACCCAGTGCAGCGCTCTAGCCAGTGCTTCACCACCATATTTTAATAGCTCACTTGGTAGTTGATCTACATTAGTTGCTTTGTTGTTCTTCAGCCGACCGATCTCCTCCTCAACTTCTTGAAGATCAGGGGCCGGTAGCCTGTCGTCTTCTACGCGTGCTCCAAGGTCTGTTGCCGTGCCACCTTCATTTTCTGCTGCTTCACCGTTGAGGTGCTCGTCATAGTACTGCTTCCACCTCTCAATCACCTCACACTCGTTCGTGAGAAGGTTACCGTCCAAGTCCTTGCACATATCGGCTTGCGGTACAAATGTTTCTCATTGATCTTCAAGATGGATGTTTAGGTTTGGTTTTTTTTAGTTTGAATAAGTAAGACCACTGAAAAAGCGCAATAGAAAAGATTTTCAAATAGGGGGCTGACATTACTGTTTTACAATTATGGTCGCTCTTGAAAGGGGAATATGGATTTAAAGTGGGATGAGTGCGCACATCTGAACTGAGTCTAAATGTTAAACAGATATTTATATATTTTATAAATCTACGGTTTTGATTCTTTGATAGGTAAAATATAAAATACTAAATCTCTTTTTCAGAGGGACGTATCTGTTTTTGTAAACAATGCATTTACAGCTACCCGTTATGGCAAACCAACGATCAAATGCAGATACGTTCCTTCGTAAAAGTAATCAAGAATTCGTTTATTGTTTCTCTACTTGTCGTGGAATTGCTCAGATGCTACTTCGTTATTGACCAGAGATCTATGTAAATGGGGCTTGGGATTAGATTATGATTTGCCTCAAGAATTTTCTATTCAATCTATTTTCAGATCAATAATCGATCATCAAGGAAAGGACGAATTGTTAGTTCGACAATCGTTGCTACTAGAGACCGAATACCAGTGTTAATATTTTTCCGCTCTCATAAGCTCTCAATATCACGCGTGATATTGGAACAGAATATCATGCTTGATATTGATGTTACAAGCTCCTTTGATATTGCAAGACTATTCACAACGTGCAAAAATCAAGCTGAGAGTTGACTGGACACAAAAATGATTCTGTTGCACATCGTTTTCTTAGAAAGAGAAGCCATAGTTTGCTATCTCTTTTTGCTCTTCACCGATGGCAGACACGAAGGGACTACTGCCAGCCGTTATGGAAGATTCGGTTGCATTCGGGTGTAAAGCAAAAATCATTAAACTCAATCTCACCACAGTTTGGTGAGATTTGCAGTTGGTGAGTTTTGTTAGCTTGATATTCCGAGCTGTGATATCACAGCTTTCAAAATCAACCGCAGATGTTTGCTTGTTGATTTCTGTCTACGAAAATCAAGAGTGATCTTGGGCACTGATGAGGTTTGATTTTTTGATATTTTTCCAACACTGCCGAATACACGTCTGTATCTTCACGGCTATCACACAACGGAAATTGTTAGTGAAGGAATTATATTGATCATCATTTGATGCGGTATGGAGAACGATCAAATTCATACTTATTTTAAATGGGAAAAAATGATACCTGATTATATTTGATGTGAATTTTACTATATATTTACTATTTTACAATCATACTGTTTGATATATGAAGATGGCTTCTCCATTTTTTGATATCTACATGCTTGCATGCACAGGAGAGAAAGGAATGTAGACAAAGGAGAGAGGAAATTAGATAGGAATTATATATATTTTTTTTAAGCCTCAAAAGATGATTTTGTAGGGCAGGCATGGGTTGGTTCAAAAACCAACGATCTTCTGCTCTGTTAGTCACCATTTGATCACCAAGCTCTCTACGTACTTAATTCGGCTGCGAAAAAAAACAATTATTCCCGAATTTTGATCATCATTCTTGTCTTCTTCAACGGTTTCCCCGTGCCTCCAAACTCTCCCCACCACATCCCGCTGCCATTCCTCATAATATGGTCCAGATCGTACAAACCGTTCAAGTTGCTCCTGAAAAGCAGTGATAAAAACATAAATTTCACCTCGAGAATAACCCCAACGCATCGGGCCTACCTCGTGCGCAGAACGTTTCGACAATCATAGTGCCAATAGCCACCAGCCATTTCCGCGGCACAGTTTGCCGTTCCTTTATTATTCGATCGGTCAAACGTGGAGAATTTTTCGTTATTGTAGATAAACAGCGATTCACCGGCCGTTCCATAATTCACTCCCGAAAGACGCAAGCTGTAGTCCGAGGATTCGTTGTTTACCACAAAGTGCTCGTATCTTTGAAAGGCGAAGAAATCCAGATAGTCATCCATCACCACCATCAAATCATAACTGAACGAATTTGTTAGCTGAAAATGATCTGCATGTTAGTAATTGTCATTTTAATCATCTAACTGTGCCGCTCAAACCTGATGCAACTTATCCAATCCCAACCAGAAATTATTACCCAAATTTCCAAATCCGTACTTGTATTCATTCCAACTACGATTGAAGCTCGTTGAATCGTCGTTTCTACTTTGGAACACTAGCCAGTGGCCAGCATATTTCTCCTGCTCACAGTAAACTTGAAACGGAATGCCATTATCCGTCAAGCTTATCCAGTAAATTCCGGATTGATTGGGTGCCTCATTGCAGGATTTGTATGTTACACGAACCGCACTTAAATTGAATTTATTTCATCAAATACTCATGTTTATTCATTCGTTGATGCTTACCTGATCAGTGAAATTGCATAAAATGCTATCATGACAGTAGTTTTTGACAGATCCATTTTGAACGGAAGATATTCGATGACTCAAACGACTAGACCAAACTAACCAGAACAGAAGCTCTATTATATTGAACTGATAAAAGGAACCCCCTTCGAGCCCTTCAAGTCAAGTACCAACAGTAAGATAATGGCTGAGTTGTTTAACTCTTCAAGAATAAAATCAGTAGTGGGGAATCACTCGACGATTGCCTATCCACAAACTGCGTCATCCACAACGAACCGGAAATGAGAGTACTCCTAAAGTCACTAATCCTAACGGTTACGATCACCATCCAGCGATCGTTGACTGTCGATTCCGTTGAATCCAACTACCATCGAATTCAATACTACCAGTCCTGCAACGATGCTCCGAACACCTCCGGAATCTACATGATCACGCCTTGGAGCAATTCGACACCCTTCCAGGCGTACTGTGAGCAGCAACTCTTCGGTGGACACTGGCTGCAGTTCCAGAATAGGATGGATGGTTCAACGAATTTCAACCGCAGCTGGAATGACTACAAATTTGGGTTCGGGAGCATGCAACGGGAGTTTTGGTTGGGATTAGACAAGTTACACCAGGTAAGTTTTCCTAAAATGGTCAGGGCCTTCAAAATTTATTAAAATCTTTCATTCTCGTAGATAACCCATGACAAACCATGCGAGCTCTTGGTGGTGATGGCAAACTTCAGTGAGTATCCCGTGTGGTATCACTACACCACGTTCGGGGTGGCAAACGAGCCGAGCAACTATGAGCTCAAATTGCTGGGATTTATGGAAGGCACTGCAGGTGAATCTTTCTACGCTTATCGGAAGGAAAATTTCAGCACCTATGATAGGGATAATGATCGATCGGGTGAGAACTGCGCAGCCGTAATGGGAAGTGGATATTGGCACATGGACTGCGGAACGGGATCCAGGAGAAACAATTTGAACGGAATCTACGGTGACCGTGTGCTGGAAAATGGAGCGGGCGTGTGGTGGGGAGGATTTGGTGGGCCACAGAATCCACTGAAATGGTCGAAGATGTTTGTGAAGGTTCGGCCGAGGAAGTAGTTCAGAACAAAACGATGCTTTTCGATGCCTTGAATGAGAGCTTTGGAATATTTTAGTTTTTTTATTTTAATTCAAATTGCTTATACTATTATATTCGCTGTTGTTGTTTTCATTAAAGAGGCTTTCAACCGTAGTATGATTCGTCTCCAACATTCTATTCTATGATATTGTTGTTTTAATTGGTGTAGCGTAACCTGGACGTTGTTATTATCCTTGATGAACTCGTAGAGTTCCTTGATCTTCTTCCCGTCCTTCCAAGTGGCAGCTCATATTGGCCTTCAGGGGATGTTCTTAGTACTGCTGGAGTTCAGTGTGAACATCTGACTCAAGACAAGACTTAGATCTCCTTGTTGTTACTATAGAGGTTTGCTCCAACTGGAACTCGGTGTGGCCCACTGCTTTGATACTGGTTACCTCTGCAACTTCCTGATTTTTGCGAACACGTTCACAAAGTCGACTGCGCATGCCGTTTTGTGAGAAAGCGTTCCAGTTCAAAGCCTTAGTCACTTTTTCACCAGTGAAAGGCACGTTTCTCCCAAAATCCCACCACCGACCATTTGAATGTAGAAAGATTCTGCAATACATTATTGAAACCTGGTACTTTTTCGCCTGCTTCTGAGCAATATAGTATATTACATACTCAATTAATGAACTAGCGGATGAACTGAACTAACTGAACTCTTTGAAAAACTCGCACCTCTTCTCGACATCCTAGTAAGGTAGTATTATAGCAATACCGCATTCATGCAAAGAAAATCGAATAAAGCTATAGCACTGCAAAGCCAAGTGCCCTCTTCTCAGAAAGCATGGTCAAATGCTACTCAACTTGAGCATTCATTTATTAGATTTTTTCTGCCTATATAACCTCCATTGCCGAGCCCAATAGTCCACTTAGGTAAGAATTGAACATAATGGGCAAAAAGTGATTTAAGCTACCACCAGGATTGCCTCAATGCCTCTCGTGAAAATAGGCCCCGTCCCCATCGCCGTCGCACAGAGGGATATTTCTTCTAATCTAGGTGGCCAAAAGTCGATTTTCAAAATTGATCAAAATTGTCTTTAAATTGTTGCATTGCATACCCAAAAGATAGGAGAACAATTTTCTATGTTTTTTTTTATTTCTTATTCAAAGCTCACAAGGTTGTGGTATCAATTCAAAACTTGCTGCTTTTACATCGTGCGAAATCGCTCGATATGATTGTTGTAGACTTTTTGCCTCTGCTAGCTGTTAGTATAATTGAATTATGTTTGTAACAAATGTGCATAGACCAAACAGGTATTGGAGAATTTATTCCACATGGTATCAGTTGATTTTGCTAACCTTCGATCAAATAGATCATCAATTTCAATTGTTTTTATCAATTATTATTCCACTAAGTATAATCTAAAATTAAAGGATTTAACCGATTACTCACTGTCTTCTCGAGGTTAGTGGATAACAATTGTTTGGATAGTTCTGTAATATTATGTGATGGCATATTTGAGCATTAATGACACGCTTTTAGTGAAAAAAATGGCTGCGATTATTTGCGATCTTTCGAGATCTTGTATCATAAAAATTCCGAGTTCAAATAGATGAACAAAAGTGCTTTTACTGATCTCATCCTTTGCATGACATCTTATAGATAGTTTTTGTTTAACTAGTCACGAAGATTTGTTAATAAAATTCAATCAAAAAAGGGCAGGCCATGCTATTTTTGAGGGGGGGGGGGGGGGGGGTTAGCCTTAAAAATTGATTTCATTTTTGTATAAAGTTTTAAATTTAAATAACTCAAAAACGAAAAAAAAAAAACATATCGCTGACTTTTGTTATATGTTCTGAGCCTAAATTTTAAAGGAAAAAAATAAAAACATATTGCGCACTCTGTCTACAAACCATGAAAACCCCACCTCCGACGCAGGCATCGATCGCTTCACTATTGGAGTGTTTACACTTATGCTATTTCATTAGCGCTAATGATCCAGCTGTTAACAGAAAAGCTCACCAGCATAATGTAAACAGGGCATCAGCGTCTACCAGCATGTAAACACCCCATATGCCACAAATTTCTGGGAGCACACGCGAAGAAAATAAAACAAGTTCGCAGAAAGCGACATCTCTTCTGATGCTTGCAAACACGATGAATCGCGTTTCGTTCTCGATTCGAAAACTTCCCAGAAAGCAAGAATACCACCACAATCACACACGTATAACCGTCCGGAAGACAGAGTGTCAGCGCTAATCAGCCAAATGCAGCGATCAAAGCGAATGCACACACAAAACAGAGAGCAAACTTAAAACAGAACCGTATCCGACGGGTTTCGAGACTCGAATCACACGGTACACAACCTATTTCTAAGCAACCCAAATTTGAGAACGATCTACTCATATTCGTCAAAAGTAGTGTACCCCAAATTAGGTTAACAAAGTTTAGACTAACAAGATGCCGAATGGAAAATATTGACCAGGATTCGAACGAAGTTGTCAGTTCCTTCTTTGTTTGTTAAATTTAGTGTAGTGTAGGATATCCCTACTCAAATTTGGGTTGTTTTGAAATAGCGTGCAGTCAGTCCTCCCATCAAAACAAACTTCATGGCAAATGAGACCAAATCATAATTGAGTACCGTTTACTCAAACTCGCAAAGCGTAGGTCACTCGTAGAATGAGTATTTTTTTTTCAAATATGAGTAAATGTCATTCATATAGTGACATTTACTCATTTTTCAGTAAATTGACTGATTCTATGAGTAAACCACGTTTTTGCTAATTTGAGTGAACGCGATTCAAATATGAGCTAGATTAACTTACCGTGCAAGCCCTTCCAAAAACTATCAAGCTGAAAATTCAGCTTGATAGTTTTTGGAATGGCTTGCATGGTAAATTAATCTAGCTCATATTTGAATCGCGTTCACTCAAATTAGCAAAAATGTGGTTTACTCATAGAATAAGTCAATTTACTGAATTTACTGAACAATCTACTAGAATCAATATTCTAAGTAAAATTGATGCATTGGATCCTAAGTAAAATTGATTGATTCTCCTCGACGACTTTTTCTTTCGTTAATAACTTGGCTACACAATCGTTTCTGGTCGTTTTTGCCGTATTAGATGCTAGATAATAGCATCTTATATCGAACTAGGTATGTGCTGAAAATAGCTGAATATGCCCATACATGAAAGAGAGAAAATCTACAAACAATGTTACTTAGGAGCTAATCCATTGTTCAGCTAGCTAATACTTGACTTGACAGTTCGTTATATGTGTGTTCGTGAAATTATCTATTTGGCTTTATTTTTATTCTAAAAGCGTCGTGATTTATATTATCTGGATCAACCGGAAAAAAATACTGTCTCTTTCATCCACATCAGTTCTTACGCGAGAAGTGAAAGTGACCTCAACAATGTGTTGTAAGGAGTGAAAAGCGCGATTTCACATGCCGAACCTTTGTAGATCGAGGTTCATCTTCGATAGGACGAAGTTGCATCCATTTACAGACCCAATTCAGGGTTGCCAGATATACAGACATGTCTGTATTTATACAGACATTTGATGATGCATACAGACTTCATACAGAGTACATACATTATACAGACATTGGTAAAAAGTTGCAGATTTATACGGACATTAACCAGCTACATCAAAAAAGGAAATCAGTAAAGAATTTACTTACTTAAAACATGTTTTTTTTTTTTCTTCTAGCAGACATTTGCCAAAATACAGAACTGTTACGACTACCTGGGTTTCGCGAGTGAGACTTTGCAGATTTCACTTGCATTTTTAATTCGAATTTGAGTATTTGTAGCCCTTCAAAACTCTGAAATCTCTAAGACCTCTCAGAACTTCCACGACCTTATCAGTTCCCTGAACACTCTCCGAAGATCTCTGAGCCTCTCCGAAGCTCACTGAACCTATCAATAGTTCTCCAAATGTATTAGAAGTTCTTTGAGTTTCACTGCTTCTTCCTTTCGTTATTCCTGAATATTTAGGAATTTCTCTGAGAAATTCAGAGAATTTCATAACAGCTCCACTCCAGGGAGGTCTAGAAAATGCTAGATAAATTTCTTGAAGTTGAAAGAAGGTTAGTGGACTTCAAAGAAACTCAGTGAAATTTAGAGAAGCAGAAATCTAAAAAAGGCTCAGAGATCACCTTTAAGATATTTGGATGAATTTCAGAGGAGTTTACTGAACTATATAGAAGTCTGGTAAAGATCGATGGACTTAAGAGAAAGTCAGATAAATTTGAACGCATACTCAATGAAGTGAAGGAAATATCAAAAAATATACAGGAAACATCTCAGACAAGTTTGAGAGGACTTCAGAAAGGCTTAGAACCGTAGAAAGGTTACTCAAAGATGTTCAAAGTAACCTTAGTTCAAGTAGTTGAGGGTTTTCAAAGAAGTTTAGGGAATTGCCACAAAGTTAGGAAACCTTGAAATTGCTTTGGAAACTTCTATTAAAATCTAAAAATAAATTCAGGAAATTTAGGGAACTATAGTAATTTCAAGACGTCCAGAAAACCTATAAAAATCAAGGATCCTCAAAAATGCTTTAAAACATAAAAGAAGTTCAGGAAACCTTTCACAAATTATGGGAATCGGATTGAAGTATATTATAGGTCACTTTATGGAAGTTCAGAAAATTTTGGAAAGTTTTAAAATAGGCTCAGAGAGGTACACAGAAAATCCAATACCCATTGAGATATTTCAGGTTGAAAATTTCTTAAATCAAAGTGAATTACAAACCTTTGAATTATGGTTCGAGTGGATTTGGACTGGATTATATTTAAAATTTCTCGTAACTCAGCAATTAACCTACGCAGGTTTCAGATTTGTTGGTGCCTCGCTCATTGAATGTGACTGTAATGTAATTATCACGAAATTACGAAAAAAAAAAAGGATACGCGAATATGCATTTGCAACTGCAACCTTGCTCAGAAATGACTTTTACATCTTCCACACAAGTCCCCCTCTTATACCTAACGGGTGTTCAATAAAAAATGACAATGATTTCAGTGCCGTCCAACGCTCTTGTGAGAGCATTGCGACTAAGTTGCGTCGTACGGCTGACAAGGGCTTCTTCTCCAATATTCATTGACGTTTTTTGAAGAATAAACTTTATGTTTTTAATTTAATGTTTTTTTTTTTAATGACGAGGCTCGGTA